TCATTGTTGTTTGGCGGGTCCGGGCTGGGGATTCGAACCCGCCACCTTAGGTGTACGTGGCTGGCGCCTTAGCCGGTTGAGCTATAGGCGCCAAGCCTGAGCTATAGGCGCTGAGCCAGGAGTTAAATTTTAAGTATTGTCTAATTCAAAATCTTCAAGTGTAAATTTAAATAGCTCCATGTACCCATTGTTACTAAATTTGCTGGTGCAGTTCCTAGGTTCTTTCCACCAATTTTTTCTCTGTACCATATTTTATATTCTTATTCAGATGAAACAACTGGACTATGGCAAAAGGTTTAAAACTGGAGAACCAGGCGGCGCCTGTGGCTCAGTGTGTAGGGCGCCGGCCCCATATACTGGGTGGCAGGTTTGAACCCGGCCCTGGCCAAACTGCAATAAAAAAATATCTAGGCGTTGTGGCAGGCACTGATAGTCCCATCTACTTGGGAGGCTGAGGCAAGAGAATCGCCTAAGCCCAAGAGCTGGAGGTTACTGTGAGCTGTGATGCCTCAGCATCTACTGAGGGTGACAAAGTGAGACTCTGTCTCTAAAAAAACAAACAAACAGGAGAACCAAGTTGGAGGCAAAGAGGTTTTCTACAAAAAGAAATCTGTTGCAAATGAACCTGGAACTTGGGTTAGTGAGTCAGTTTTTCTGACAGATAAACTTGGCTGTATTGGGGTTGTGCTCTGGACAGGAAAAGCCTTAAGGAAGGCAGGCACTCCCTTGGGTGCGTTAGGTAAACGCAGAGTGTGTTGACAGTGTGAGCGCCCTCCCTCTGTCAACAGAACAAACTACTTCACTTCATATTTTGATTAAAAGTAATTCCTTTAAATTGGCTTTTAATTTTAAAAGGTGGAAGCCTCCTCCGTCTCCTCTGCTGGCTCTGTGCACCTTTTTAGTTTCAGAAAAGCATGCAGGGGACCAGTCTCCCTGGAAGCCGTACCTGGAGATTTTACCCAAGGCCTACACCTGCCCTGTTTGTTTAGAACCGGAAGTGGTGAATCTTCTTCCTAAACCTTTAAAAGCAAAGGCAGAAGAGCAGAGAGCCCATGTACAGGAGTTCTTTGCTTCCTCCAGAGACTTTTTCTCCTCCCTGCAGCCTCTGTTTGCGGAGGCTGTTGACAGCATCTTTAGCTACAGCGCCCTCCTGTGGGCTTGGTGCACCGTCAACACCAGGGCTGTATACCTGAGGCACAGGCGGCGGGAATGCCTTTCTGCGGAGCCAGACACCTGTGCGCTTGCTCCATACCTGGATCTGCTGAATCACAGCCCAAATGTCCAGGTGAGAAGATGAAAAGGGAACACATGTTCTGTTTTGACAGGAATGATTCCAACATGTAGAACCTGTGATTTTGGAAAGGGAAAATCACCTTCTTAGGGAAAGGTATAGCGGGCTTGAAGTAAACCTGTTAGGCCACCTGCCATCAGGTGTGTTCCTGGCTTTCTTCCTGACCCTGCAGTGCTTTTCCTCTGCTCTGCTTTTCCTCTGCCCTGTTTCTCCACTCTGCTCTCCAGGCTGCCAGAGGCTCATGCCAAATTTCCTGTGCGGCCATTGCCAGGGACCTATGATGCAGAGGTCTCCTCCTTTCCCTCCTTCCTCCTTCCTTTTCCCTTCCGCCCTTCCTCTCCCTCCTCCCTCTTCTCTTCCTCCTTCCTCCTCCCTCCTCTCTCCTCTTCCTGTGTCTTTCTTCCTTCCTCCCTCTTCCCTCTTCTTTCCTTTCTTCCTCTCTCTTCCCTCCCTTCCTCCCTCCTCCCTCTTTTCTCCTCTTCCTGTGTCTTCTCTCCTCCTTTCCCCCTTCCTCCCTCTCCTTCCTCCCTTTTCCTTCTTTCCAGACTGGGACTGAGGTCTAGCTTGCCTTCCTTTCTCGTCCCGTGCTTTCATACTTGATGGTGTAGTTGCCAGAGCATTTCTCTTTGCTCAGATCACTGATTGACTTGCTTCTTCCTTTACTGAGCTCTGAAATCTTTGGGATTGGGGACTTTGTTGTGTTCCTTTTTGTTGCCCTAGCACTTGTGGCAGGGCCTGGCATAAAGCGGTTGTTCAGTAAATGTTTACTGAATGAATGGATGTTTGTGGGGAAGGGGGTTTGGGAAGTCATGAAAGGATCCCAGTTTGGGAGATGGTAACAGATCTCTGCCCTAGCCCTTCACTAGGAGCTCATTTGCAGGGCCTGCTGGGGTGGAGGCCTGGCTTGGAGGGCAGAGGGGACTCCATCTGGCACCTGTAACCTATTTTGGATGTACTGTGGAGGCAACATTATGGCTGGGATCTAGGTCATGGTTGTCCCCTTCACATGACATACCACTGTGAGAAGAGCAACAAAGCCTTGTTAGCCCACGTCCCAGGGACGGGAGAGCTTAGGGAGGTCCTGCTATGCTTTCTTAAGCCTGGGGGTAATCCTCTGGCCTGTCTGCGTGTTCCTTTTGTAGAAAGATGTATTTTTAACAATCTAGAGCAGTGGTTCTCAACTTTCCATGCCACAATGTGGGTCGTGATCCACAGGTTGAGAACTGCTGATCTAGAGCAAAGGAGCTGAGGTTGGGTGAGTTTCTCAGCAGTGAGTGGTTGATGTTGGTAAAATACGTACTGTACTGGTCTGTACTGTAATAGGATGCTAGACACAGGGGCTTGTCAATCCCCATTGGCGTGACTTTATTTTTACTGAGGCTTTTGGTGCACACGTGCCAAACCAGTGATTTTATAGTCTGCTGTAGGAGGACCACAAACTATAGCCTGGGGGCATGTGGGCCCAGACCCCTGAGCTAAGAATGGTTTCTGTGGCTTTAAAGGATTGTAAAAATATAACTACTTTCAACAAAGACCACATAGGTTGGCAGAGCCTAAAATATGTACTGTATGGCTCTTTACAGATGAAGTTAGTTGACCGGTAACCTGCTGCGGACTTTGTCTGTTCAGTGTTGGGTGTCAGGTATGTGGCCATCCCCAGAACCCAGGGCAGGACTCCTTCCCTTGCTAATGGGGTGAAGTTGAGGTGAAGGAAGAAGGCTGAATTACAGAAGTGGTATTTTCCCCATCTATAGTTCAATTCATTGATGATTATTTGAAAGCTGCACTTTGCATTAATACAATAACTTAATCAGCTTTCATTTAAAGTGGGTATCCAACCTGGGGCCCACAGCAGGCTGCATGCTGACTTTGTGAGGACTTTTTTGCTTATTCAGGGATATCCCAAAAAGTATGCATGGACCTTTTTTTTTTTTTTTGCCTATCAGCTTTATTAGTGGTTATGTATTTAGTGTGTGGCCTAAGACAAGTCTTATTCTTTCGATGTGTGGCAGAGAAAAAAAAAAGTTGAACACCCTACTTTAAAGAAACCATTAACACTTTTCTTTTCTAGGTAAGAGCAGCATTTAATGAGGAAACTCGCTGTTATGAAATTAGAACAGCTTCAAGTTGGAGGAAACACGAAGAGGTATTCATCTGCTACGGCCACCATGACAACCAGCGGCTGCTCCTGGAGTACGGATTCGTTTCCATCCAGAATCCTCATGCTTGTGTTTATGTCTCAAGAGGTTGGAGTCAACTTCACTATCATTAAGATTATATAATTCTTTCCCCCATTTGGAGTTGTTGTTATTTCTAGTTTGAATAAAAAATAGCAAACCTTTGAAACATGCATACACATCATTAATTTTCTCCTAGCTAGTTCTAGCTTTACTCTTATTGACTGTAATTCAGTGTTGAAGTAAAAACAACAAAGCTTTGGTTGATGCCGAGGATAAGAACTCAGAGAAGTTTTATCAAACTGAGCTGGAAGATAGAATGGAAGAAAAGGAAAACGACTAGGGAAAATAAGTTTAATGTTAAAAGATGGAAAGAGGTGGAAATTTTTATACTGAGACATTGTCACTGTCCCTAAAGTTAGGATAGGATTCGAGAGCAATGAGTAAATATTTGTTAAGCGCTTACTGTGTGTAAGACAGTGCTAATCTCACACAGAGAGACAGTGCTATTATGTAGTCCTTGTTTTTGCAGGTTAATGCATAATTTGATTTCATTTTTCTTTTGTTATCTACTAACCTCATTGATATTACTATTTTAAAACAATAATTTAGTCAGTAAACTTATATTGTGAAAATTCTAGATATAGTATTAAAAATGGCAAATAGAAGACTGATGTTTTCCCCTTTCTGAAATAGCAAAAAAGCAGTTTTCTAGGCTGTGAAGAAATGAGCAGAGATTTACCAAGTATATAATTTGAGGTGTTTTAAATTTAAGGTTGATGGAAATCAAAACTTGACATGGTGATACTGCTTCATCTTATAGGCAGAATAATAGTGTTATTTCTTGAAATAAAAATAGAAAAGTAAAATCTGGGCCTTGCTGCTGGAAAACTAGCTTTGAGGTTGCCTCATATTTTTAGAATCCTGATAAACTTAGTGTTGATGGCAAGGAAATATTAATTTGTTGAATAAATAACTTGAACAAAGACTATATTTTAGTTATTTTTACATTGTAAAAATAAAATAGAAAAAATCTCTCATTACCCTGCTCCCCCAAATAGCTTTGTTAATTTTTGCATATTCACTTCGAGTTTTTTGTGGTTGCAATCACTAATGTCCAGACTATCTTTGAATTTTAGCTCTTAAGAAACTCCATGTTAACAAATCCTTCCTGATGTTTTTACAGAGCCTATACTTTTGTTGGTTGTAATTTCCTACCAGTTATGCTAACATTGTAATCACCTGGTCCTGTTGGTTGCTCTGTTTACTGGGAGCATGAACTGAGGCCGTGGTTGTTTTGTCCTCTGGCCTTGGAATTCTTACAACTTTTCAGGGACTAAATAATGATCTCATTGCATTGGACTTGAAAAGTAGACTTGTGTGAATGAGGAGAAACTGTTTATAGGTGTCTTGATTGCTAATAGGGACAGCAAGTTGAGATGAGAAAGGAAGACATACTTTTGTCTGAATACACCCTAAATCAGTCTGTTTTATTTTTTTTTATGTAGAAATACTTGTTAAGTACCTTCCATCAACAGATAAACAGATGAACAAAAAGATTTCCATTTTAAAGGATCATGGCTTTATAGAGTAAGTGTTTCTCCTTCCCTCTCAAAATTATTCCTTTAGGAAATTTTCACAAAAAACTTGAGGTTTGAGATTTCTGCAGGGTGAGATACCTCCTGACTCTATCAGTGGACAGTTAGGTATTTACTGAGCACTTACTGTGTGTAGTAGTAAGATTGTGCTTGATGTTGTGGGGGACACAAGGAATAAAATACTGTAAAGCAGTGGTTCTCAACCTGTGGGTCATGACCCCTTTGTAACAATGAAAATACAGGCTTGGCGCCTGTGGCTCAAGTGGCTAAGGTGCCAGCCACATACACCTAAGGTGGTGGGTTCGAATCCAGCCCGAGCCCGCCAAACAACAATGGCTGCAACCAAAAAAAAAAAAATAGCCAGGCATTGTGGTGGGCGTGGGCATCTGTGGTCCCAGCTGCTTGGGAGGGAGGCTGAGGCAGGAGACTCACTTGAGCCCAGGAGTTGGAGGTTGCTGTGAGCTGTGATGCCATAGCATTCTACCCAGGGGGACAGCTTGAGGCTCTGTCTCCAAAACAAACAAAAAAACCCAAGGAAAATACACCCTGCATATCAAATATTTACATTAAGATTCATAACAGCAGCAAAATTATAGTTATGAAGTAGCAATGAAAATAACTTTATGTTTGGGGGTCACCACAACATGAGGAACTGTTTTAAAGGGTTATGGCATTAGGAGGCATTAGGAAGGTTGAGAACCACTGCTGTGAAGAAACTTACTTGGGGACATGAGATAAAAGCTCTAAATATGAAGTCACTATACTGCAGGAGAGCCCTGCATGTTCTGATTGGTGGTCCAGGGAGAGGTTGTCCCAACCATGTGGCCAGGTAGGAAGCGGAGGGTTCCCGCAGGCCAGGCCAGCCCTCAGGAGACCCTAGTCACCTGGCAATATGATACAGGCTCTTGGGGTGGGTGGGTGGCTGGGTGATTCCATGACAAGTGAGAGAAACTGGCTTCGAGGCTCTCCCTTTCCAGTTTTCTGTGTAAAATGAAGTTTTAAATTACCCAGCAATAGAGTGAGAGCCATGTGGCCGTGGTGGCTGCCATTGTGAGATCCCCAGGATCATCCAGATGCTTCACCATTTATCTCACGGTGAACTCTGGCATGTGCCCTCTCGCTAGGGCCCCATGTCCAAGTTGAGCTTCTTATTAAAATTGAGAAAATAGCTTTTTACTCTTTTACAAAAATGAGAAAATTTCTGTCACTTAGGTTTTCTTTTTATTTGCAGACTTATTTTTCTCTTGTTTTTTTTTGCCCAAGATTACATGTTGTATAGCATTTAGGGTAACCTTGAAAACTATGTTTGGCTGTTCAGCCATTTGCCATGGTGTCATGAAGTACTGAAGTGATGGGTTTATTGTTATTTGTTTTTCTACCTCAGAAATTTGACATTTGGATGGGATGGACCATCTTGGAGATTACTCACGGCTCTTAAGTTGTTATGTCTGGAAGCTGAAAAATTGTAAGTTCTGCATGTTTTGGTCTTAAGCTGTGACTGAGATCTGATCTGGATATAACTTTAGGTGTGTTTTTGGGGGGGGCAGGAAGGTCACTGTACATTGGAGTTGTTTATTTTTTATGTGACTTGCCCATGTAGTGAGCGTTTTACTTCTGTGTTTTAACCATATCTGGAATTCTGGGTTTAGAATCATAAAGTTCATGGTTCTGAGAACTTCTTAGCTTCTACTCAGGTTATTTTCCTCCTAGTGACCTGGTCCTTATTCAGGGTAAATACTTTACAAAATTGAGCATTGGCACTGTTCAGAGGAAAGTATTCAAGTAGGCAGGTTTTTCCTGGGAGTGAGCAGAGCAAGCAGACTATCCCCCAGCTGGTCCTGCCCCGTGGCAGGTCTGGAAGGCCTGCTGAAGGAGAGGCCTGGGTTTTTCTACTGGGGGAGAGGGTCTCTCCATGTAGGCGTGCATCTGGCCAGGCTCCCTGCAGCCACTTGCCACACACACAGCTGTGCCCTGCCCAGCGCAGCGGCTGCTTCAGCTGGTCCCTGTTGGAGAGAGCAGCATCGGAAGGACTGCGGTTTATCACCCACTCCTTCCTGGCGATCTTTCCTCCTCTCATTGTTTCTTTGTTGTGTTTTCCACATTCATTCATCTTATGTTTTATCTTGTGTGTACCCATGTAAGCTTCTTTACATCCTTCTGGGAACAAGGTATGAGTACTTTTCAGGCATTTTGGCCTAAAATTAAATAAAACCCCTAGATCTTTCCCAGAGGTCTTCCTCCCTTTGAGGAAGAAGGCACAGTGTTTCATGTATCACGTTATTTAATTTAATCTTCAAAATTACCAGCAAAGAGAGATTGTTGCCATGTTAGGCTCAAAAAAGTGGAGAATCAGGGAAGTTGGAGAACTCACCCTAGGTGAGGGGCAGAAAGGGCAGATGCAGAATGGGCAGGTCCCAGTAGCACGTTTTCTCCCTTTGAGTTATTCTGAGTGACGTGGCAGGAAAGCCTAACATGGCAACAATCTCTCTTTGCTGGTAATTTTGAAGATTAACTAAAATAACATTATACATGAAACACTGTGCCTGACACATGGTAATTTCCTTCTTCCTATCCTGAGAAGGCATCAGTTTGTGAGGTTTCAACTGTCGTCCTTGAAGCTGAAGACGTCTAAGACCAGTCTGTGTTGTATCTTGTCAGCTGTTCTGAATTTCTAACTGGCTTCTGTATTTCCACAACAGCCATTTTCCTTTCTCCTCCTAGGCCACTTTGCCTTTCATGTTCTCTCTGTGCAGTCTGTCTCTCCTCTGTCCTCCTTCTCCTGGGTATGTGTCTGCCACCCTCTGGCTCAGCACGCTGGTGGGCTCTTCTGCCTGAAGAGAATCGCCCCACCTGCCCACAGCCTCATGTAGTATCAAGTTGGAATGACCTGCATGTGGAGAAAGGTTCAGCCGTTGATTTCTACTTTTTTTTTTTTTTTTGCAGTTTT